TCTGCCCCTTCTTCTTCCATTTTCCTGCCTTGTTTCCTAGCCTGTCTTTTGCCCCAAAGCCAAGGCCTGCATCTTACCCTATAGGAGTCCATCTAAATCTTGTCACAGTCCAGAGGAGTTTATAAATTGTAATCCCAGGGAAAAGTTATTGGAATTCTTGCAAGTTAATTCCAATCTACCAATCCCAGAGCAACCCACAGCAAGAATAAAGAGACAAGGACATATCTGCAATTGTGGGGAGCCAAGAGGGTCCTAAGTCCAATAGGAACAAAGGCTAACCAGAACAAAGACCACAATCCAGGGCCAAATGTGGGCTGTATTAACTCATGAGGAGGGGCGGGGCTTGGGGTTGAGCGACTGTGAGAATGGCAGGAACTACGTGAACACTGTGAGCTGGGCTAGGTGGGAAGAACAGTGGCACCCCTGCAATATGCAGAAAGAGACATGCAGCAATACTGGATCCCGGTAACAGGTAGCTGTAAGTTTGGAGGAATCTGTGTAACACAGTTGGAGGAAGTGTCCTGTGTTTTGGGTTGGCTGTCTCAGCTCTTATCGCTGGCCTTTATTGCCCTGGGATCTCACCGCCTCTTTCTGGAAGCTCCATCCCAGCTGACAGCCTGGCTTTTCTTGGCCTACTTCACATGTCGTAGTAGGGAGCTACGGGCAGGGCAGCACAGACCTGTTGCATTGCTTCAAAAGTTACACGTTGGTGCCTCAACTGGACCCATTTGCATGGCTTAAAGCCAAGTGAGCGGGTAGAGCATTTCCTTGCCAGCTCTGTACATATTGGTACATGCAAGCAGGACAAAGGTGAACCACAATGGAAGCAAATTGTCTTCTTTCGGGGGAGCCATCCCAGTGGTCCTCCACGTAACCAGTCTATGTGTGGTGTGTGTCACAAAGGAGATGTCCCCTAAGTATGTGGGGCAAGGACCAGGACTGATTTGTTTCTGTCTCACTTCACCCTTCGGGGAACATATACGTCCTTTGATCAAGTGTGGGTGTTCTCAAGACTTCTGTGTGAGAAACTGTGAAATCACAGGGTGCCTATGGGTGATCAGTGTATGGGGAGTCTGACCCCAAGCTACCCTTGGCCAGCTGGGCTTCTGCTGCCATCTGGGGAGAGCCTATTGATAGGTGTGAGGTGTGGCTAGGAGGACCCTGGGGCATCAGGGATGAACACTTTCAAGCAGAGAGCTGCGGAGGGCAGCTGGGTACTGGGGGCAGAAGCACTGAAACATGCAGCTCCAGTTTTGGCTCCTCTCTTGCTGGCTGTGTGACTTTAGGCAAGTTTCTTAGCCTCTCTGAACCCAAGTTCCTTCTTCTAGTAGATGGGTGTTGTGTGAATTCCCACCCAAAGCTGTGAATCAGGATCCTATGGCAGGTGGCTAATGCCTGGAAAGTAGTGGCTCACGAAAAATGTTAGTCTCTTTCCACTGACTTTCTTTAATTCAATTGTTTTCTGTAAGTGATTTTTATAAGACCATAAGGGCTACCCATCTCTGTGGGCTGTTTGGTATCTTCCCCCTGGTGCCCTGCCATGACAGGTGGTGTTAGAGGCAGTGTGGTTGCAGTTCAGCCGCTGTTCATTACTGCACCCTTGGGCAGGTGCTGCTGAAGACAGGAAAGGAGACACGATGTCCCTGCCTCCCGAGGGACTCACTTGCCTACGGAGGCCTCCAAAGCACAGTGCGGTCCTCATGGTGACCTTGACCGAAAAATACAGCTGATGTTTACATGTTAAAAACACTTGTTACAGTAAAAGACACAGTACCAAGAGTGATGGCTTAAGTGTGTCTGAAACAAGGGGAAGGATTTTGAGGGGCACACATGGCACCATGTCTTTTACTGTAATACATTTTTATTTAAACATTCCCAAGACCCAGTGCAAAATGCAAATGCACAACACCTTGCTCAAAAAGTAACACAGGTTTCAAGGCAGATGTTGGTGACAGCAGAAGTTAAGCTGAACGCGGTGCACCCTTAAGTGAGGGACCCCGGAAACCATGTAGGTGATGGGCAAAAAGTAGACCCTGGCCTGGGCCAGTGGGGTCTGAACCTGCCTGAGGCAGGAGGGTTTCCCAGGACAGCTACTGGTCAGTGCTGGCATCTACAGCCTCAGCCTCCAGTGCCCCTCAGCCTGTGCCCCATCTGCAAGATCCAAGTCAACCTCAATTGCGGGTCAATGGCCCCACAGGGTTCCCCCGACCTGCTCATGAGTAGCAGCTGCTCTGCTGGCCTGGCCATGCTACCCACCCTTGGACTGTCAGGTCTGTGGCTCTGACCTCCAGGAAGTGCTTTTCCAGTAGGAGTGGGGCAAGATCCCTTAGCTTGCTTTCTTCCTGTGGCAGCGTTTATCTCAACACACTCTGCCTCCCAGGGCACAAATTCCAAAAAGATGCTGGAGAGCCTCCCACTCCACCTCCTTGGCCTGCTGCCTACTCCTCCACAGGCCCCGGGGCTGAGCCAGAGGGGGAGGAGGAACCAGCCTCCTTTGAAGGTCTCACTTTGCCGGAGGTTGGGATGGACTAGGAGGAGGCAGGAAGGCCAGCTGGGAACTCTACAGCAGGGACTAGGTGGAAGCTAACAGTGGGAAAAAGCAGGCTAAACCCAAAGGGAGAGAGGTTGCAAAACAGGTTGCAGGGAAGAGTTGAGAAAACGGATAGCTGTGTCCCACACTGGGGGTGGCGGGAGGATTGACAATTGGCAGTGCAAAGCAGTGATTCTACTGACTTAGTGCAGCGAAGGAGAAGGAGTAGGTTTGGGGTTGAAGGATGAATTTCATTTTTTCACAGAATTTTATGAAAAATTTCAAACATGCAGAAAAGCTGAAAAAATTATACAATGACCACTTATACTCACCCTTTGCCTGCTACCATCAACATGTTACTAAACTTGCTGTCATGTGTCTGTCATCACCCATCCATCCATTCATCCATTCATCCATCCATCCATCCATCCATCCACCCACTCATCTGTCCGTCTATCCATGTTTGGATGCATTTCAAAATAACTTGCAGACACCAGTACACTTTATCCTTAAATACTTTTGCAACACCTAGAGTTCAAGATTCAATTTTTTTCTGATTATGTAAGCATTTCTTTTTAGATTTAGGATTTATTTTCTTTTACTCCATTTACCTGTTGGTGTTTAAGATTTTGGGTGTTTGAATAAGCTATTGGGAACATTTGCCCATTTTTTTAAAAGATCAGATTCGCACTCAGTATTTATTTATTTATTTATTTATTTAATTATTTATTTATTTATTTATTTATTGGAACCAGGAATCTAACTCAGGATCTTGCACTTGCCAGGCAGGCGCTTGTGCCACTGAGCTATATCCCCAGTTCGGCACTCATTTAGTTTTACTTATGCTGATTTCTGGGCTTGGGAGGCATCTAGCTGGACAGCCCAGGAGAAGGTTAGATACAGGGTAGGATGGCTCTGGAGGGACTCAGAACCTTGGTGCTGGAAGTATCAGTTTGGGGGACAGGAGAGGAGGGGCCAGCCCTGGCTCCATGTGGGAGGGCTGTGAGCCTGGTGTGCAGAGCTAGATGAATGGTTCCTGACCTTGGCTGCACATTAGAACCACTCAAAAAGATTCTCTAAACCGTCATCATGTCCAGGCTAGCTGGCTCTCCTGTGTGGTGGGGTCTGGGCACCTGAGTTTTCCACCTGTCTGCAGAGGACTCCAGTGGCAGCCAGGATCCAGAACCACTGGGCAGAAGAAAGTTTTCAGGATGGAATGCAGGGAAGGACTTTCATTTATGGAAGTAAAGGAGAAGCCAGAGAGCAGACAGAGAGGTAACGACAGGGAGGAGAACCAAGAGAAAGGGGTTGTGTGTGTTGGCAGAGAGACAATACTCACAGCACTGAACCTGACAATGACTGAGAAAAGGGCCCAGGGTGATCCTGGTCTGAATGCACATTTAGGATGGAGGGGAGGATGTGCAACCTCAGAGGCAGTACGTAGCTGAGTGTCAGAGGGGAGCCCATTGGTGGGGACAGAGAGGTTGGAACACACTCCTGCTCCCTGCTTGCTTCTCCCTTTTGTTCTTCCCAGTAGACACCAGCTAGAAAACATGAGTGACAAAAACAAGGGAAGGTGTTGTTTCTCCACCAGCAGACCATCTGCACTAGGACCTAGGGAGGACTTGGACTTGCTTGGAACAACCTCTATCTATCTATCTATCTATCTATCTATCTATCTATCTATCTATCTATCATCTATCTAAATCTATCATCTATTATTGTTTGCTTAGTTTTCAAGTTCTAGGGACTGAATCACACTGAACTATATCCTCAGTCCTTTTTATTTTTTGAGACAGGTTCTTGCCAAGTTGTTAATGTGTCAGATGCCCAAGTGAAGCCAGGCATGGTAGCATGGTGATGTGCACCTATCATTCCAGTACTCCGGGAGGCTGAGGCAGAAAAGTCACAAGTTCAAGCCCAGCCTGAGCAACTTCGTAACTTAGTACTACCTGCCTCAAAATAAAAAATAAAAAACAAAAAGTGGCTGAGAATGTAGCTCAGGGGGAAGGATCTGGGTTCAATCCCCAGTACCCATCCCATACACACACAAAAGATGCCCAAATGACTCATGCGTTGAAGTTTGCTTTGGCACTCAGGCAGCTGGGACTCAGGGAAGTTCATAGATGGGAGAAATTAACCAGAACCTCTACCCACCACCCTCCACTTCCCATGACACAAGAGCCAGTGGCAGAAACCTTCTTCCTGATGGACAGAACAGCTACATAATCTATAGAGTCCAGCGCCAAATGCAATGTAGCATCCCCTTTACAGAATCATTAAGACTTTCAAGATAGTGACAGCCAAGCTAGAGCCCTTTAGATGTGGGGTGATGTGTGGTGTGACTGACCACACAGGTCCCACACCTGTGAAGCTAACAAGGTAGGAAAAGGGTGGGTCATTCATGCTAGTCCAGCAGACACAGTTCTCCTTTATTCATTTCCAACCATTATAATCAAAAGCTCCAACCTCGAATCCTTTTTAAAGTTTATTTTTTCTCAATATGCAAATAGAAATGGTTTCCAATGGCTGTTATTCCAGTGTAATTCTTTCAAAAAATACAAATATGTATGTGTCTCTGAAAATGTGAATGGAAGCTCTACATGGGGCAAGACAACTTGTGCTCGTTTATTTTATTGACGGCGTACAGATTTTTTGATATATTGCATTACAATACTGACCGCTAGATTTCTCAGGAAAGTTTAGTTCATATTTACTCTAGATTTTTCTTTACAATAAAAGTAAACTCATGCCGGTGTTTAGGAACCAGTAATATCAATTCATTCAATTTTGATGACAGTTTTATTAAGCTAAGAATCTCATATCACAGAGCATTCACAGTGCAGGAGGCCACAGGTATTGAAAAAATAAATAGCGGCATAAATATATTTATTATTTACAGCTTTCTGACCCATAGCTCCTGCTCTGCCTGTTGAAGGTAATGAACAAAGATGGCAGCACTCAGCCCAGGATGCCAGAAATGTCTTGTGGAGCCTTAAGCCATGTGTGGACAGTCCCAGAACTTGGGTTTGGGTTGTTTATAAGGAAGCTCTGGCTATGCCCCAAGAAGATCCAAACACCCTGGGGAAACCTCGCCAGCCTTCCTCTCCACCCTGCTCGGCTCTGCCTTGGTGATCCTACGTCTGCCCTGGGGCTGGCCCCAGCTGGCCAGCAGTCTCTTTCCTCTCTGGGCAATCAAAGCTCTCTTTGTATTCAGACACCAGCAACTGCTCCCAGCTGGACGGGAGATGCAGGCAGAGGCACCCTGCCAGGGAACGAGTGCTGTAAACTGGAAGCCCAGTCTTACGCGTGAGGCCTCCCCACCCGATGGGATCCTCAACCCCAGTGGCTCAGCCACAACTCTGCTAGGTCCCCAAATACCCCTAGTGTGAGCCCCATGGGGAAGCAGAGAAAGAGTCATGGGGTCTACAGCTCAGAGGGGCTAAGGTGTGAAGTGAGGCAAGGTTCCCAGGCGCCTGAAGAGCCCACTAGAACATTCAGGAAGCAGCAGCCTTGCTCACAGCCAAGTCACCTTCAGGAGGAGGAGAGGCCTCTTCCTGTTGGAAGGCGACTCTATTGGGAATTCTGAAGTGATAAAGAGGTGGGCTCTGTGCTCTGGGACCCTCCCTCTATATATAAAGCCTGATTATTCCAAACCATGCATCTAGAAAACCAAAAGCTGCATGGTCTCTCTCCCAAAAAAATTGTTTTCCAGTGACCAGAAGCAGAGGGTACACGCTTTCTCCAGGACTGAGGGTTCCGTTGGCCTTGTAAATGGCAAAATCCCAGCTAACATGACTAACATGATTCATAAGGAGCAACTGTGCGGATTCTGGCAACAGAGCAGGAATAGGTGTGGACAGTGCCCAGACCTGTCAATGGGCTTTTAACCAAGGAACGGCCACACCCCAGCTCGGGAACTCTAACGGACAGAAAAGTCACACAGACAAGGCCTTGACCTTCACACAGGCAATGTGTGTTTTGCCTCTTAGAGATGCTTCCCACAGGCCCCAGTCCTGTGCCAGGGCATTCAGGCTGTAAGAGCAAGTTCTTAGCCCCTGCTAAGAAGAGAGAGGAAGATGCACAACTTGGACAACTGGACACCGACACCGTAGGAGTAGCAAAGTGTCTTAGAAAAAAGACGCCAAAGATGACACAAAGCAGGGCATGTGTCTTCAGTGTTTAAGGGTTCAGCGAAGACAAATGCAACCTGGAAGCCATTTGTTGTTGAAATTTTTTACACGCTCCCCTGAAACATTCAAAGCTCTAATGCCATTCATCGGGCTTCCCTGCAGAAACCTCCTATAGGTGGCAGAATGGGAAGAAAGGCTCCTTCTCTCAATGGTACGTGGACACCCACCTGCTCACAGTGTGGCAGGAGAGTGGCCTGCAGATGTCGTCTGTCTCAGGTGTCTGGGACATATCTGCTGTCCGCAGGGAAGGTTGAGCCCATGGAAACTGTGTTGGAGAGTGTTAGGGACCCCGTGGGAGATATCTGAGGTGTGGCGAGCCCTCCCCTAAGGGCCCATGCCGTGTCCACAGTGCATCCAGGGGCACTGGAGCTCTCAGACTTCTCAGCTGCTGACTTCTGGGGAAACTCCAAAAGGTGGAACAGGACCCCACTGTTCTACTGTCTCAGCCCCATGTGCCCATTGCACACTCAGGAAAGCAAGGAAGGGAGGAGAAGGCAGCCTTAGCCTGGGCTCTGGCTCTGGGCTTCTTGCCTGCTTTCCCAGGGGCAATGAATGGCCCTTTCCTGGTCCCTCCTGTCCCTGGGCCTCCTCCCACATTAAGGCGAGGAAGGGGTTGTAGGATTCACGAAGGAGAAAGGCCAGAACAGAGGGGTACAGGGCAGGGATGCACCCATACCTTTCCGAGACCACCTGCTGGGGGCTCGGTGCTCTGAGGGGTGGCAGCAGCTGTGCCCAGGCTGTGAGGCCTCATCACCACGGAACAGCAGGTGCACAAGGACGGGGCAGCCCAGGATTGGGGGGGGGTCTTTGGTTGGGGTCCGCAGGGCTGACCTTGAGTGGGGTGCAAACCTCACCTGGTTCAACCTGGCTGCAGGAAAGTCTGTGCCTTTTCAGTGCCAGGTCTGCAAAAGCTGGGAGTAGCCGGGGAAAAGCGAGAGGATGCCCTCACGGGTGAGGGGGGTAATGAGCAGGTAAAAGTCAAAAGGGCAGCCAGGTCTGTGCACAAGGCAGAGACACAAGAGACAAGGTGGAGGAGCACAGGGACAGCTGACTAGAGACTGAGTTCCAGGAAGGACAGGGCTGGGGAAGGGACAAGACAGACCTGCCCACAGTGCCCTCCACTTTCAGTGTCTCAGGGCAGCTAACCCAGAATGATCCCCAGGGCCAGCTTCCCAAGATACCGCACCCCATCCCCCACGGTGCTCAGGCTGGCGAGGGTAAGTTCCCAGTCAGAAAGTGGCAGGGACCGCCTGCTCCCGCTTCTATGGACATTTGCCATTGGAGTGCGAAGGTTCATTTTGACTTTCTGCCTCCCGGTAGGAAGAACTACATGTAGCTTTTTGACTATTTTTGTAGCAGAAGTAATTACCCTTTGCTAATGAACTAATTAGCCACGGGGATACAATAAAGGAAGTAATCCTGCATAATGGCGAAAGTGTTGTTTTAAAAAATGAAGACTTAAATTCTCAAGGAATTCTTTAAAGTAGCAATGGAAAAATAGTTAGTTAAAAAGAGAATTTTTGATTATAGTGTACATATAGTTTCCTAGATATAATAAATGCATAGAGCCTTTAAGGAAGTTACATTGGCACATTGAAGTCCAAAGAAAACTATCCAAGAGGAGTGTACTGCATATTAAAAATATAATGTTTTAAACCTCTAACTGCACCTGCAGTATACTGTATAACCTCAAATGGATTCTGTGGAAGAAGATGAGGGAAATGTTCTCTGAAAGCTATACAAGGATTTCAGAGAATTGAAAACCAGCAGGGAATTCTTCAGAGGTTAGGTGGCCTGTGCCTTATCATAACTAAAAAGAGTTTTTGGTCTTTTGCAGGAAAAAAAAATAGGAAGATCAGAGATGGACAGATGTTAGGAGATGACCTGGAGAAGGAGGAGCTAATTAGATATTTGATAAGGTTTTGCCCCAGACAAGCGCAAAGGCATAGCCATGTATAGCCACACCCACTACTTCAGGCTGGACAACCACGTCCCCTGGCTGAGCTGGGAGGGCGCTGGGCTGATACCTGGCTCAGTACTGCTACTTACTGGCCAGTAACTGGAACCACTTGACCTCTCTAAGACCAAACTGGGTATTAAATGGAATAATCCATACTTATATCACAGGGTGGTTAGGAGAATCAAAATGGAAACAGAAGAACTCAGAACCTGCATGAGTCTGTGAAACAGGTGTGTGTGTGTGTGTGTGTGTGTGTGTGTGTGTGTGTCCCAGGTGATCTAAGCTATCAGCACAGCGTGGTCTCCAGTGGCTCTGAAACCCTGTAAAGCTACAGTTTATACCAACGCATCGATGGGCTTCCTCCCTTCCTGCTTAGCTAATTTCTTAGGAAAATCACTCTTGTTTCAATTTGAAGACTGCTGAGCCCAATATCCAGGAAGAGGGACAAAAAGTGAAGCTTTGACTTGGTGCAGCTACTAATACTGATGTGAACCCCAAAGAGAAGCCTGGTAATAGGAATGAGATCCCATGGTGAGTTCATGCTTACAGGAACTTAAGGGATACAAGCTTGAACACTTCCTCCTTTGGAAATTCCAGAGGCCTTAAAGAGCATAGTTAGAAATTTCCAGATGGGTCATGAGTCCCATGTCTCAGGAAGGGATTAGCTACTGGATTTAAACTCATCATTACCAAGTTTAAAGTGATTTCTGGTGAATCACTAAAATCCTTTCTTCTCACATCGTTATGGGTCAGTCCCATACCTTGTGCAAAATATCTCAATATTAAAAGTGCATCGCATCTGATAGACTTTTGCAATAGAAACATTAAAAAAATAAAAAAACCACTCTATATAAAATTAATTTGTGCTTTCCTTTTAGAACCCAAGAATGGTTTATGTTCATAAATCTTTAAATATATATGTATATTTAGAACTATGAAGAAGCTTAACATTGTCTCATATTTTCTATCTATTTTTGAATCAACTCCCACCCCCCCACTTTCATGTGTAGCAAACTATAAGGTTCAAGAAACTTAGATCTAAATGCTCTAAGATATGGTTTTCATATTTGCCATCAGCTAACCAGAGAGCAATTTGGTGTGTTTCAGCAAATCTCTCTTCTTGTCATGAGCCATCACTTCTGAAATTTGTTGGACATATAAACAACTGGGTCTTTCCACAGCTGGTTTTGAAAATAGAGCAAAAGCAAGAAACAACATGCTTGAAGGGACAGTGTGCTGCATCATACAGAAGGTCTGGAATGTTCTGGAATATCTAGCTGTAAATGTTGCAGTTTACCCTACCGTGTCTCTGAGTTAGCACCTGATTCCATGGTGGTCTTTCACCTCTTTCTAAATTCCAAACCAGAAGTCTTAGAGCCAAAGCACAATGATACACACAGGATTCACTTTCTACAAGGGTTATCTTTTTGGTCCCATCATGATCCTTTTGTGTGGAATGATATTTTTCAAGTATGATGATCTATATGACGTTTTATTTTTAATATTTCATTGCTCATTCTTTGAATGCATCAATAAAAAGGATATTAAGAGTATTTTGTTTGCTTTTCTCTCTTCTGCTGGGAAGAAAAAGTTTCCATTCTTCCAATTTTTTTTTCCAGAAAAAGAAGTGGAAAGTCAGCCATCATGGTCTCAAACCCCAGCAGGCTGATGCCTTGCCTCTTCCAAAGCTCAAGAGCTGCCAGCTGGTGGCACATGCTGTACAAGGGGCTTGCCCCTGTGGCCCAGAGGGGACACTTGAGAGCAACTGTCCCATTTTGCACTCGCCCCAGGAGACCTTACACTCACTGACTGCCTCATTCCAAGGCTGCCTGGCAATAGAAAGAAAACCACGCAGAGGTCCTCTGACTACAGTGTGCAGGAGAGATGAGACACACATCCCTGTGCCTGGCAGCTCAAGGGTCTGTGGAGCTGCTCAGCCCAAATGAATCCCCAAACCTGCCTCGAGTGGGGCAGGACTCCAGGAGGCACGCCCAGCAGCTGGCCTGTGACTACACAAAGACCACAACGGCCCTTCCTTCCAGCTCATGAAGAACAGATGGTGGCTGCCGAGGCAGGACAGACCTGTGGTGGGGAAGGAGGGAAAGAAGAGGTCACCAGCGTCACGGGGGGCCAAGGCAGCTCCCGGGGTGGCAGCTCCGCTTATTCGTCCTCTCGGCACATGGGCAAGTTGACGAAGGTGAAGACGTTAAACTCTATCATTATGGAGAAGCACAGGAAGACAGCATAGAGGACAAGCACGTAGACGCCCAGCTTCCGGTCCAGCCGCCATTTGTTGAGGTGGATACCTAGGACCTGGGAGAGAGAGTGTGAGAGGTGGGCTTGCGGGCCAACAAACAAGGGCTTTTTGGCTAAAAATGAGAGTGTATGTTAACAACCCTTGAACTTTCTGCAGAATGTGAATCAGAGCAAATGGGCCCCACCAGGTTTATCCTCAGGTTACCAGAATCAGCCCCAAATGTTTAGACTTGACAACATCAGGGTGAGTCTCTGGCTAGGCCCTGCTGACCCCAGCACATTCACGGGCCACCCTTATGGCACTGACCCTCCCCGGGCAGAGAGGCCACTTCCTCAGGGCGCACATGTTCCAGGCCTTCTCTAGGGATGAACGGGTTTTGCCCTTTGCTTCACACCATTGTGATCTCTTTCTCTGAGCCACCCAAGGCTCCCATAAGCCACTCCTGGCAAACTGTAGCTTGGGCCATCCTTTTCTGTGCCCATTTTGAGGGAGGGAACACTCCCACTAGCACTTGAGAGAGTGAACACTGGACCAGGTCCCAAGAAGAAAAGAAATGGAATTCACTTCCCCTGGTAACATCTCTGCTCAGGAAAAAAATGCTGTGATGCTTTCAGATGCTCTTGGCAAAACTGGGTTTGGCTTTGTCCCTCACTGACAGGAGCAAGTGACAGGGAGGCGTCTGGAGTCATGTCCGGGATGAGGCAGAACCAGACACCAAGCAGCATGCATGAGGCTTGTGATTTGGGGGTGTAAAGACTCACGGTGAGAGCGACGGAACCCAGCAGCAGCACCACGGAATAGACCAGACCCCGGCTGTTGATCTTCACCTGGAAAATCAAACGCACTCATGTGAGTCTTGGGGCTGCTTGGCCGATCCACTCTGAAAGCCCAGAATATTCTGGCTTACTCATCCCCTTGTCAGGAAAATATGGGGATCCTCAGATAAGCACGTGGCTGTCGGGGGTCAGGACAATGTGGGCTCCGGTCTGGACTCTGCTCATCTGAGGACCTGGCCTAGAACAGGGACAGGTGCTGGAAGACACCAACCAAATCTTAGTAAACACTGTCTCCCACCTGGGGCACCCATAGGTAGCTGTCAAAGAAGGAGGGTGCGAAGGTACCAAGAGGGGCCATGAGTCTTCCAAAACCCTGGGCTGGAACTAGGTAAATGCTACTGTTTTCTGCAACACGCGTCTACCCCATTTCCTTATGCAGTACAAAGAACTTACTGTGGATCCGTAATTAATAACCATGGTCTGCAGGCCCCACGGGATGCCGAGTCCTACTAAAATGTCAAACACGTTGCTTCCTATGGTGTTAGAGACCGCCATGTCTCCGAGGCCTGAGGGGACAACCAACATATCTCTCTCATCAACAGCAGGTCACTGAAAACCAACATTCTTTCTTATAACTGTTTATCAGTGCTATGCTTAGAAAGTAATTCCATTGTCACAGACCCTCCGTTTCGAAGACTGTTTTTTGAGGTCAGAGATCCAAGCCAATCATGAAATCTAAGGGCCCGATTATGGACTGAACTGTGAGTCTCAAAACTCAATGTGCAAGTCCTAGAGCGCTATAATGCTGCAAGATATGACCGTATTTGGAGGCAGGGCCTTTAACAAGGCAAGGGGTAAGGCTGAGGTCATTAGGGTGAGCCCTTATCCAAGTGGTGTCTTTGTGAAAAGGAGAAATCTGCACATAGCACACAGGAGGACCCCAAGTGAGGATGAAAACAGCCAAGGTGATGGTCAGGAGAAGGGTCTGGGGAGGCTTTTCCCTTATAGCCTTAGAAAGACCAAGCCCCGCTTAACCTTGACCTTGGACTTCTGACCTTCAGAAATGTGAGATGGCACATCTTTGCAGTTTATACCACCCAGTCTGCAGTAAGGATAGCCTTGGTGAATGAATACAGGGCCTTTCAGTACTTCTGCCAGGGTGGTAAGATCACATTCTTTGAGGCCCCACTGCAAGCTTTGACCCATTTAATCCTCCTAGTTACACTGAAGGGGTGGTGACATCATCCTCATGCAGAAGGTGATCAAGGGTACACAGTTTACAAGCGACCCAGTCTCAGGACACCTGGTCCAGGGTCATCTATACCCAGCCACAATGTGTATTTGTAAACAGGCAACAGCATCTGTAGCCTTGGCTGTGATAATAGGCAATCAGATCTTATGTTCCGATGGTTTTGGAAGGGTAAACTATCTTTGTTCAGCCACACAGGAGGCATCTCGGAGGCTGGGGCCACACCATCATTCTTCCCTTTCCTACCCAACAGTCCAGCATCAAGCTAGCCACACAGGTAGAAGAACTTGATCATTCGAAGAGTATGAGAAAGTAGAGCAAAGCTGTATACACAGCTGTCTCATGACAGCTGAAATCTGTCCTACTTGAAATGCCCGTCTTAACCTGCACACACACAAATGTTTGCAGGATGACAAGCCTGAAACACAGTGTGTACACCCATCACATCGCCTTGGTAGCTGCAAAGCTCAGCATCACTCCTGCCAGCTTTGGAGACAAGCGGCCCACCTCTGTCTGCACCTGTCCTGCCTGTGTGTCAGGCTACCTCCTCCTCCTGCCTGTCCTTGTTGCTGTTGTCTGCTGACCCCGGCACATAAATCTTCCTGTTGGACTGACACCTCCTTCCTGCCTGCCCCCCACGCTCTGAGTACAGCTTCATGCCCTTTGTAGCTTGTTCCCTTGAGCAGCTGGATCCCTGGGAACTGGCCTTCCAGGATCAGTCACACAAAACATGGCAACAAGTGGTAACTGTTTGGAGCAGTCCCTTGCACTTGAAGAGGAGGCTCTCCAACTGGAGAATACAGGAAGTCTCAGGGAAGAGAAGATAAACATGGCTGAATATGGACAGAGGAGACAAGCTTCTCAGGCTGGTCTCAGGACTGGTGTCCTGCACAGGCAGCCACAGCAGCAGTGTGGCCCTTTGAGGACCCAAAGGGCAGTGACTCCAACTCCCATGAGTGTGCCGTCACCCAGGGGTCTGGTTAATCAGAAGACTCCCTGACTCAGTGAGGCCAGGGCAGGGCCTGACAGTCTGTTTCTTGTGCGCATGCAGGTCAGCGCCGCCTGGGCCACGTTGTGAGCTGGGAGCCGGTAGGGAGTCTGGGGCCTGCATGGTCTCCTGCTTTGTGCAGTGGTCTCTAAGCAAAGTTTCAGCACCCTTTATCATAAAGAAGCTGTTCAATCTTAACCTTGTCTGTTGGACTCTCTATTAGCCACATCAGTGTCACGCTTATGAGTGCTACGCAGCCCCCTCCCAGCCTCAGCCCCATCCACTTCCTCCATCTCTGTACACCCACAATCCCCTGCGGCCACGGTGCGATGGTGTCCTGCCTTCGAACCCCACTTGTCCCTTGCTCCTAAAAGAGACTTCACCGACTCACCAGGACCCCTCAAACCCTTAAACTTCTTGCATCATGACCTTCCCCCTCACTAGCTGTTTGCACTGCACACTGTACTGCCCTCCTGGCCTGCCAGGGGGCCCCTAGTTGGGGATGAACTTGCCACCTGTTTGGAGCTGCTGGAGCTGGCATGACTGACCCCACCCGAGTTCACGCTGCTGAACATCAGGCGGGCCCTCAGCGCACATCAGCTTTCCTCCCGCTCACTGCACTGGGGTGAAGGGTCCCTAATCCACATCTACCCAGAACCTGCGACCGTGGCTTTATTTGGAAATAGGGTCTTTGCAGATGTCGACACATTAAGATAAAGCCACACCGGATGGAACGGATGACAGATGACCTGGGATGACAGGCAGAGACTGGAATGGTGTCAGCCATGGGAAGAGGAAGAGGCCAGGAAGAGGCAGGAGGTTCCTCCCCTCACCCTGCAGGGGAGGCCCTGCCCACACCTTGTTTTCGGAGCTGGGAGGTAAATTTGTGTTGTTTTAAGCCGCCTAGTGGTCATGGTTGCTCTGGGAACTTAGTACACTCTTGGCAAGGTTACCCAATTAAATTCCACCTCTTCAGCTGCTGTCCCCATTCTCTGTAAGGCACCTGCCCACCACCCAACATGTGCACATACTGCCCTTCCCCTCTACTCTTCCTCAGCCCCACTGGCTGACCAGCCAGCCTTCCTCCTCTCTTCTTTGTCTCCCCCCATGACTTGCCCTTCCCCACCCCTAGACCTTCAAAGCTCCTCTTCTGGGAAGACCTGTGGCAGGCCATGTTGTGACCATGGCTCCCTGGCAGAAAAGGAGCCGTACATCACAGCCAGGGTCTTCACAGCTTCTGTTCTGCCTTCAGAGACTGTCAGTCACCACTCATCTGTCCAACCCATGCCGCTTAATGAACCCCAAAGAAAACCCTCGAAACAAAGCAAAAGATTCTGTGTCTTCTAGAGGTTAGAAGAAGAATGGGGAAATAGTTGGATTTATAGGTGGCTCTTTCTGCTTTCCTAAGACAGCGACATGTCTCACTAGCTCATTTGGTACTTGAAGTCTGGGCTTGGACTCCGTTCAGTCTCACACTGACTGGTGATCTCAGGGCGTGTTCTAGACAACCACCTGGGAAAAGGCTTCCAAAGGTCTGGAGAAGTTCATCTCATCTTGGTAATGTTTGCTCTACAGATGCAATCTAACACTTGATGCTTTCGAGGTCATGATCTCCCTCGCTGCAGACTTGGCAACTGCCAGTGTGCAGTGGCACAACCTGGCCACCAAGCTTGCGCGGGGAAGATGGGGGGTCAGCAGGCTGACGCTGACGGCTGGCTGCAGAGGTCAAGGCACGAGCCATACCTTGTCTGGCCACAATCAAGCTGGCCATGCAGTCTGGGACACTTGTGCCTGCGGCCAGGAAAGTGATGCCCATGATAACATCGGGGATCCCAAATGTGTATCCGATGATAGTCACCTGCGGGACAGAGGGGTGGGCAACTGAACTCACAAGGGAACACCGCTGGGGACTTTCCTTACCCTGTGTGCTTTTAACTTGAATGTGGTTACCAAGAGAAAATATCTGGAATATGGTTTTAAAAACTTTTTTTTAATGTTTTTCACCCCCTGGGAAGTAATATGAGTAACATGTGTTTATTATTTTAAAACACTTATAAAAAATGGAAATGAAAATAAAAATTACCTACCGTTTCTCAAGACCCACAGAGAAACACCATTAACACTTCACATTGGCCAGTGGTTCTCAAACTTGAGAATATAGGAAGTCTCAGGGAAGACTTGTTAACAAGCAGACTGCTAGGCCACACCCCCAGATTTCCAAAACGTGGCCTAAAAGCCTGTATCCCACCTGGCTGGCACCCTGACACTGTGGGTTTGGAAGCTCATTTGGAAACCACTGTTTTGAACTGTATCCTTGACCTTGCTTTTGGTATATGTGTTAGAAAAAAATGACATTGGTTTATACTATCAATATCTATTTTGTAATTATACATCATGAGTACCTTGCCATCCAGAATCTTCATCTATGACATATTTTAAATTGATAATTATATTTCATTGTATGGCTGTAAAGGTTTCACCAATCCTCCTGTGTTTATCTTAGATGGCCTCTTTTAATCCTTACAGTATCGCTCGCTCTAAGAACATTTGCTGAGCACTTGCTGTGTACCAGGTATTCGACAGGTGTCATATTTCTTCTAATATCACATACTTGATTATTTACTACCTACTAATGAGGGAGGCACCTTAATTATAATAACTGAGGCTCCCAGAGGTTAGTATCAATGTCCATGGGCACACAGCTGGTAAGTAATGGAGCAGGCATTCAAGCCAACGTTTCCTATCCTGCAGCCGGAATTCAGGCCTCTCCCTTGTGCTGTTTGGATTTTCATTCTGCTACATCGTTAGGATAAAGCCAAAAGATAGATCTCGTGGATCAAAGGATACACAGGCATTTTAGAGATCATGATGCATGTGCATGGCTGACACTGGAGAGATAGATGGGCCCCTGAGCAGCAGTCAGATGGAAAGCTCTGGAAGCATTTGGGGCCCTCCAGTCCACAAATCCCTTGCCTCTCTTCATCTAGAGATGGGGAATGACGACACCCCTTAGAGCTGCTCTCATCTTGGTCAGTGGCTCCAGTCCCAGCATGTGATCTGGGATAAGCTCTCTTGCTTCTCTGAGCCCCAAGCTCCTTTATCTCTAAAATGGGCTTAAGAAAGATGGAATAAGAAAATGTAAAGTGACAGCACCTGGCTGTGCCAGATGTTCTCAGCAGTCTGTTTCTCTTCTAGTTCAATCATTTGCTCGCAATTGATAGGGGCAAAGAAAATAAGGGTGATGAGCTTCACAGGACTCAGGGAGCCCCACATGAGCTACGGTTTCTAAGGGCAAAACTTAACCCTAGCATGCAGCCAGTGTGTGTGGGCTAGACACTTCTCTACTAGCAGGAGGTTTGCAGAGGGGTCTGGAGATCCTCTAAGACAGTGCTTAGCTCAGGCTGAGCTCACCAATGAGACTGTCCTGGGCCAGGCAAGTGGGGAGAATAACAATGGAGCCAGCAGTGCTTAATCCACACTGTCCACAAAAGGGGTCTCCACAGGCCAACCAGGGGTGGCTGGCAAGTTTTTAATTCCAAGTGCTGGGATTGCAAGTGTGTGGCACCATGCCCAGCTTGTTTACAGATTTCTATTGTCAAGGCTATCCTAATGCCCCAACTGAGGCCATTTGAAGTTCAAATCCACAGGTCAGAGTGCCCCAGTAAGTGGTTCCTATGACCTAAGCCAAGTCAAGAAGCTTTGGTGCAAATTTAAGAAACAAGGGTGGAGCTATGCATTGTAGTGCACACCTGTAATCCCAGCTCTTGGGAGGTTGAGCCAGGAGGATCCCCACAAGTTCAGAGCCAGCCTGGGCTACATAGTGAGTTCCAGGCCAGAATGGAATACACAGTGAGACCCTGTCTCAAACCAAAAACCAAAAAAGAAACATGAGTAGGATTTGTAAGTCAAGGCAGTGTAGATGGGAGTGTCCTACCTCCTTGCAATTAAATTGGCAGTGTAGATGGGAGTGTCCTACCTCCTTGCAATTAGAATTGATTTAATAGTACTGTTATTTTCAGTTATTGGAGAAGAGGAAAAAAAAATCACATTCCTTAGTTAATCTTCCTAATTCTCATTTCTACTCAAATGTTATGAAATAACTTTTTTTTTGCTGTTGTTTGGGAATACCTATTATCAAGAACAACTGGATCCTTTCCTTAAAATGTAAACATGGGTTGGCCTCTACTCCAAGAACTAAGATGTGCAAATTCAATGCGTTTAAAGCATAGTTTTTATTACCTGTATCATCTTTTTCTGGGGGGCTTGGATAGTAAGGAAATGGGGACTGTGTGACTGGAGCTGGCTGGGTGTGGAGCCAGGACTTGCTGTGTGCCTACAATGTGCAAGGCTCCCCCTTCCTCTGCAGTGGCCTTGTAAGACTGGTGATCACCCACCTTCACAGAGGGGCTCTCCCTGGTTTAGCCAGTTGTTTGCCCAGGTATCACGGCTCCTCAGAGGTGGAACCAGGATTCAGATCTGACATTGTGTGACCTCCAAGGTTCTTCTGTCCCCATAATGCTGCACCTTTCCCTGGGAGCTAAGGTCAGAGGGCTGTGTGCCTACCGGGAACTCTCCCAGCCTGGCCCCCTACTCAACAGTCAAGAATGAGAAACATCTCAGCCCTTGGTCAGATGTAAGGAGGAGAATGGAGTGATGCAAGGAGAGCCACGGAAGCAAGAGTGGCTGGCGGGGCCTCCTTCACCATTAACTGCACCACAGTCATGCTGTAACCGTGTTCCCCTCTTGCTCCTCACTCAGGATGAGGATGAGGAGGCTCTGGGGGTGGATCACAGAGCACAGGGGAGGGGGCACTTGCATGGCCTGGCCCATCCTGGCCTAGCCAGTCAAAGGTTTGAACAGGAGCTGGCCTGCATGGCCAGAGGAGCTTACCAGAAGCCACACCAACACCTCTCCACCTGCAAAATGTCTGCTCAGTGACATCTGAGAATTCCAGTACCCAAGGGACCAGTTGCTCAAGACAGTGGTTGAGATGACGGACCAGGAGGCCAATGCCTGCATCCCCCACAACCTCCAGCACTCACTAGTGGGGTAACTTTAGACACATTACTTTCCCCATTTGTAAAATGGGGACAATAAAAATGCTTATTTCATGGGATTGTTCTGCTGATAAAAAGACATTTATATAAGTGCTCCCAGCATGTCATCATGCACCTGGTGAGAACCCTTTTCCCAGAGAAATACGCTGCAGACAGCCAGGTCAGGGACTTGCCCAAGGTGGCCCAGCAGTTCCCACGATGCCTTGAGCCCAAGTCCTCCTTCACCTGCCATTCCCCACTCACCAGCCACACCATGAGGTAGGAGAAGACGGCGATCCACAGCGTGGCGGTGACGAAGGTGACCATGAAGAACCTCTCCCAGCGGGGCTTGCTGCAGTTGGGGATGGTGATGCACAGGAGGAAGATGAGTGGCCATGTGAACACCCACTTGGCCTTGTCCCCTCTGGCCTCTGCAGGGAACAGGGGAGAGCAAGGAGGTAGGGGAGAGAAAGACACTGGGTTACACACCTGCTGGTCTACTGCAGGTTCGTTTTTTCAAGCTAAACAAAAGAATGCCACCGATGTGTCTCCAAGCAACTGAGCATGGAGAATCACAGGCCTGCCTCACTCTGGAAGCAGACAGCTGAGAATGTGTTTGTTGACTGAATAACTTTCTTCAGTTCAAATCCTTCATGTGGCACAGGACAGGGGATCTGCAGCGGGGATGTGGACAATGGATGGGCTTTGGAATCAGACAAACCTGGGCTGCAATTCAAGTGACCTTGAGCAATCACCTCAACTCTACTTCCTCCTCTGATGGCAAAGTTCATGCTAACATAAGAGTAACAGAACAGTAACATACAGAGTACTGGCCACATGCAGAACAGTGCTGAGTACATTGTATCTTCCTAGTTTCTTCATCTGTGAAACAGGGACACTATCTCTGTAGGTGCAAGGAAGATGTGACACAGTGTTCACAAAGCACCCAACACACACACAGTACATAGCAGGTGTTCTGCAAAGCTCAGCACCTTTGCTCCGAGGTCATATGGTCAGCCTGCAGCAGATGCAAAACTAAAATGTGGGTGTCCCGGCTGGTGGCTGCACCTTACTGGGCCCTACCAAGGAAATCACACAAGGAAAAGTGGCCTCACTAAGCCACTGGATGACAGCATGGTGTCCTTAATGAGCAGACAGGATGTGTGTGCACGGATGGCTCAGGAGCAGGGTGCTGGGGATGTTGGTGAGGGTGGACAATTCTTTTCTCTGTAAAAGCAATGTGGACAATGGCAGAAATGGCCACAATGTCCTTTTTCAGAATTCTGGAGATTAACCCAAGGCTTACAGCAATCTGAGAAGTCTACTTAAGAAAATCAGCTGGATCTCAGTAAGACCAGGGAGCTCTGAGGCATCTTAACTTTCCATTTTCCATTCCCTCTGCCTGCTTAGGAATAGCCTTGAAAATCAAGAGCTGCAGTGCCAGGGAAAACAGCAGCCTGGTAGCCACCCGAGGAGGCAGACAGGACTGAGTCTGTCCTGGTTCATGTGTCCAAACCTTCTGTGAATACAGCCTAGAAAGAGCCTCTACAGGTTGTCTCTCCGCAAAATTGTTGGTGGGAATGTAAACTTAACTGCCACTATGTATACCAGTATGGGGATTTCTCAAAAGACTAAACCTAGAAATTCCATTGGACCCAGCTATTCTCTTATAGGTATCCTCCTGAAAGATTTAAAGACATCATATTACCGTACATATGCATATCCATGTTCACAGCAGCACAACTCCTAAAAGCTAAATCTTGAAAGCGGCCTATACATATCCATCAACAGGTGAATGGATAGAGAAAATATGGTATTTATACATAATGGAGCACTACTGTGCCATAAAGAAGGATGCACTTAAGTCATTCGTAGGAAAGTGGATGCACCTTGAGACCATAATGCTAAGTAAAAGAAATCAGATGCACAAGCTTAGATATTTCATGGTTTCTCTTGTAAGAAAAATCCAAAGTATAAATAGTTTGAAGAGCAAAATGAAAGACAAGTAACATGCAACAGGGAGACAGATCTTTTATAAGTGGGGAGAGGACCAAGAGATGGAAGGAGGAGGAAGGAGAGGAGGAGAAGGGGCCGTGAAAAGAATTAAGCTGTACTATGTACATGTACCAACTTCCCATGAAGAATGGAATCATTATGTACTGCAAACACGGACTAATAAAAATTTAAAAAGCCTCTATGTGTCTTGTTCGCAAAGCATGTTGGATGCCTGTTTCCACAGAATGATTGTTATTCAACCTCTCTTGTGGTCTCCAGAAGTCCCCACTTCTATTCTCAAGAGCACTCTTTGCCTGACCCGGAGATCACCAGTGTGAAAAGTCTTTTCCTTGGGGTGTTTGTGGAAAGCAATCAGAGGCAATGATTAAATCATGCTGCCTGAGGTGGAAGATCACATCTGGGACAGATGGTAGGCTAACCAAAAATATTAGAAAGGAAAAGCTGGGGAACAAGGTTTTGCTTGGCAGGGGCCTTTGCAGAGCTTGTATCTGCTCCTCAGAATCCAAGGGACCCTGTGCACGTCAAGGTTGCATCAGTGCTGGTTGCTGCTTGGCAGAGACCCGAGACCACCCTGAGCTCTTATCTCGGCCTCAAGGTGAGGCTTGGCACTAGTACAAAAAGAAAGCACAAACTATTCAACCACTAGCCAAGCAAGGTGTAGTGACACAGGCCTGTAATCCCAGCACTCTGGGAGGTTGAGACAGGAGAATCACAAGTTCAGACCCAGCCTGGGAAGTTGAGTAGCTTAGGGAGAGCTCATCTCAAAGAACCACAACAACAACAACAAAGGCTGGAGATGTTGCTCAGCCCTGGGTTCAGTTCCTAGAATGAAAAAGAAATCTTTAGCTGACTCCAGGGTAACCAGTGGAGATTCCAGTGGCCATATACAACAGAATACAGATTTTCCAGTTAGTAAGCAAACAAAACAAATAACAACATAGTAAAAACAACAACGGACCCTAGGAAGGGGGAAGAATATAAATTCTAGAGCCGTCCCATTATAGTACTGAGAATTCCCAGCTTTCAATAACAATAACAAAATTATAAGACATGCAGAATAAGTATTGCTGATACACAGCCAATAAACCCCCACTGAGGAAGATTAAATGTTGAATTTATTAGACAAGCTTTACACCAGCTATTTAAAAATATGTTCAAAGGAGCTTTTTTAATGTCCAAAAAAACGAAAGTGTGGGAATGACATCTCACCAAAAAATTAATAGAAATAAAAGTGATTTCAAAAAACAAGCAGAAATCCTGGAACTAAGAAGCATAATAACTAAAATAGAAAATTCATGAGAAGGGTTCAAGAACAGATTTGAACAGGCAGAAGAAAAGAATCGACAACCTTGAAGATAGGTCAATTTAAACACTCTAGTCTGAGGAACAAAAAGATAAAAAGAATGAAGAAGAGTAACCAGGACTTGAGAGAGCTGAGAGTACTCTCGGCAGGTCAGATGCACACGATGGGGTTACAAGAGCAGAAGAGAGGGAAGGGACGGGAAAAACCCTGAGAACTCATGCTCGTAAGAACTTCCAAAATCTGATGAACGACACTAATGTAATCCAGAAAGGTAGTATGCAATCCTCTCAAGGATTGACCATATGTTAGGCCATAAAACAAGACTCAGTTCATTTAAAAGGACTGACATTATGCAAAGTATGTTATCTAACCTCAGTGGAATGAAATTAGAAATCAACAGCAGAAGGAAAACTGGAAACATCACAAATATGTGGAAGTTAAATAACAGACTTCTAAATAGCTCATGGGTCAGAGAAGCAATCACCAGGGAAATTAGAAAATACTTGGAGATGAATGAAAACAAAAATGCAGCCTACTAAAACTTATGGGACGCAGTGTAAGAGGGCTTAGACAGGAAAGTGTAACTGTAAACGTCTGTATTAAAAAAGGGAAAGATTTTAAGTCAATGGTCTAACCTTTTTTCTTTAAAAAAGTATGCAAATTAAGTTTTAAAAAAGCAGAAAGAAGGAAAGGTCACGGCAAAAATAAATGAAATAGGAAAAACAGTGTAGGCCTGATGTATCAATGAAAGTGAAATTTTGTTCATTAAAAATTGATTCCATTTATGCAAAATGTCCAAAACAAGCAAATCCACAGAGGCAGAAAGTAGATCAGTGGTGCTCCGGGATGGGAAGATGGAGGAAATATGGGGTCACTGCTGGTGGGTATGGGGTTTCTTTTTAGGCTAATGGAAATGTTTTGGAATTATATATTGGTCATGATTTCTCAGCCCTATAAACATAGCAGGAAAAACACTGAATTGTACCATTTACAAGGGTGGATTTTATGGTATGTGGATTTTTAAAGTTGCAACGTAGGCTGGCACTAGCTGTTTTGGTTCTGTACATCTGTGCTTTTTATCTTCCTAAATAATCAAAAGTATGTTTAGTAAGAAACAAAACAATCTGCTTACAATGAGTCAAGAGAATATGGTTAGCTAGTAATCAGCGAATCAATCTCTGTATCTCTCTTCAACGCTGTATCTAAAAAACATATCTTCCTGGGTCTTTCTCCACAAGTGCCTTTGTGCGCCTTGTGAGCCCTGCCCAAGGTAGAATGGTTTCCTGCCTCGTTGGTTTGTCCAAAGTCCCAGGCTGTCCCCTTGCTGGTCCACATCCCAATTTATTCCAGGGAATTTCCGAGGGCACTGCTAGAACTAACCTCTGTGCAAAGGGGAAAATTCACTTTGGGGAATGTGACCCTGGACACTTGCAGGCCAAGGAACCTCTTTGCAGATACATACAAATCAACAGGATGAATTTCTTTTGTCGCAGACAATGAATAGCATCAGCCCTCGTTTTGCCTGGTGTGGGTTTTGCATCTTGCTTTGACATCCACCATCACCTTGGCCCCACCTAGGTGGCCAGAATCACAGCTTGCCCCCATTTCCTAGGAACACTCCTCAACAGACCCCTTCCACAGCCACGCTCCTCACTGTGGGCTGAGATCCCCTGGTGGAGTGAGAAGTCAGTGTAGTGAGTGGCAACCAGATCTCTCTTAAAAAGAAATAGAAAATATTACAGCCATCCCACACAGTGAAAGGCAAACGTTAGTGCATGAGACCTGTTTCCTTTCCACAGACAACCGTGTGTGTGCATGCGTACGTGTGTGGATTATTTATGACTGGGGGTCATGGCCAATGTGTGCACACATCCATGGCTGGCACCCACTCAGGACCCCCTTTGCCCCCTCCCTATTATTCTGACTCCTCTACAAAGCCCTGAACCCAGTTGGCCCATGGTAATCTTTCCCTTCCACAAATGCCTTGCATTTTAAGAGTATTTAGGAATTACTGAAATTCTGGCCTTGCCACTGGAACCCACCTGTCCATCTGTCCTGGCTGGGTGTAAACACAGCTGGCAATGGCTCTTGGGGCCTCCCACACCCGTCTGG